CGTGTGGGTACATCTCTTCTCTCTCCTCTTGCTTCATTGTTACTTTCTCAATGAGGCCTACTCTGACTTCCCTGGTTAAAAACACCATCTGTCCTCATGATGTTTCCTATTCTGATTTCCCCCCAAACCGCCTATTACCTTCTTATATATTTGATACTTGGTTTACCTTCTGTTTTCATTGTCTAGCTCCCCTTCTATTGCCACCATCCAACGTCAGCTCCACCAAGGAAGGAATTTTTGTCTTTGTTCACTGATTTAGCCCAAGAACTTGTGACATGGATGCCCAGTCAGTGAACACTAAAGGTAGCAGCATTTTCTAGACTTTAAAGAAAGAAGAAACCTGTAAGTCTTGTCTTGGCAAGAATTTCTTCTGTATTTAATCTGTGACCTACTGCAGTGTAGAGTATAGAAACTGTATCTTATAATGGTCCATTCAGAAATAGGAGTGAGTTTGACCACATTATTTGGTTTAATTATTATAGCATAGAAAGTATAAGTCTAGAAACAAACTGTGACCTATATGCATAAGTGGAAATTCAAATTATGATCCTTAGGCAAGGCCAGTGTGAACTGTCTGTTACAGATCCATACTGGAAAAAGTACAGAAATTGGAAGTGCTTAGAAACTTTCATAAAAATATGTTAGAGTTATATTATATTAATATCTGCTGATCCAATAATAAAAAATTGAGACTTTTTTGTGTCCAATCTTTTTCAAAAACTTTTTTTAATCTAGTTTACAAAAGTATTGGTTCATGACAGGGATTGGAAATTAGAACAAACAAACCAGGTTTTTCATGCACATAGTTTAAGAAGCACTGATCAGATGGACTCCAGGGCTGCCTCAGGAAGTTGGAGTGAAAAATAGCTTGAGACCTTCTGTACCTTTATTAGTCATCTCATAGATCTTCAGATTATCATCTCCTCTAGTGATTTTCAACTTTTTTCTTTTTTGCTTTTCTTCCCCCCAAGCAGTAGAACCCTATCTTTAAAACGTTGTTGCCATAAAACACAGCTGTAGAGGGCAGAGGGAAACAGAGCTGCTGGGGTCGAATATGAATCCCCTCCACTCCCCTCAGTTCAGCTCAGTCGCTCAGTCGGGTCCGACTCTTTGCAACCCCGTGAACTGCAGCACGCCAGGCCTCCCTGTCCATCACCAACTCCCAGAGACCACCCAAACCTATGTCCATCGAGTCGGTGATGCCATCTAACCATCTCAGCCTCTATCATCCTCTTCTCCTCCTGCCTTCAATCTTTCCCAGCATCAGGGTCTTTTCCAATGAGTCAGTTCTTTGCATCAGGTTACCAAAGTACTGGAGTTTCAGCTTCAGCATCAGTCCTTCCAATGAATATTCAGGACTGATCTCCTCTAGGATGGACTGGTTGGATCTTCTTGCAGTCCAAGGGACTCTCAAGAGTCTTCTCCAACACCACAGTTCAAAAGCATAAATTTTTCGGCCCTCAGCTTTGCTTATAGTCCAACTCTCACATGCATACATGACTGCTGGAAAAAATATAGCTTTGACTAGACGGACCTTTGTTGGCAGCATAATGTCTCTGCTTTTTAATATGCTGTCTCGGTTGATCATAACTTTTCTTCCAAGGAGCAGGTGTCTTTTAATTTCATGGCTGCAATCACCATCTGCAGTGATTTTGGAGCCCAAGAAAATAAAGCCTGTCACTGTTTCCATTGTTTCCCCATCTACTTGCCATGAAGCGATGGGACCGGATACCATGATCTTAGTTTTCTGAATGTTGAGCTTTAAGCCAACTTTTTCACTCTCCTCTCACTTTCATCAAGAAGCTCTTTAGTTCTTCTTCACTTTCTGCCATAAGGGTGGTGTCATCTGCATATCTGAGGTTATTGATATTTCTCCCAGCAATCTTGATTCCAGCTTGTGCTTCATCTAGCCTGGCATTTCACATGATGTACTCTGCATATAAGTTAAATAAGCAGGGTGACAACATATAGCTTTGACGTACTCTTTTCTGGATTTGGAACCAGTCTGCTGTTCCGTGTCCAGTTCTAACTGTTGCTTCTTGACCTGCATACAGATTTTCCAGGAGGCAGGTGAGGTGGTCTAGTATTTCCATCTCTTAAAGAATTTTCCACAGTTTGTGGTTATACACACAGTTAAAGGCTTTGGCATAGTCAATTAAGCAGAAGTAGATTTTTTTTGGAACTCTCTTGCCTTTTTGATGATCTAACGGATGTTGGCAATTTGATCTCTGGTTCCTCTGCCTTTTCTAAATCCAGCTTGAACATCTGAAAGTTCATGGTTCAAATACTGTTGAAGCCTGGCTTGGAGAATTTTGAGTATTACTTTGCTAATGTATGAGATGAGTGCAGTTGTGCAGTAGTTTTAACATTCTTTGGCATTGCCTTTCTTTGGGATTGGAATGAAAACTGACCTCTTCCAGTCCTGTGGCCACTGCTGAGTTTTCCAAATTTGCTGGCGTATTGAGTGCAGCACTCCACTCCCCTAGAGGTCACTAAAGTTCTTCAGCAGAGCCCTAAGTCCCTGCACGCAAGTCTGATACCTATTTTCCTGGGTGCGAATTGGAGTTTCTGTTTTGCTTTTTTATGTTTTGTAGATAATACATCTGATACATCTTTTTCTAGTCTCATTTGAAATTTAGACATTTCTTCATACAGTGACCCAGCTCTTTGAAGTGTATCCTCCAATCTCCGGACTTGACATGTATGACTTAAAGGTGCCCAAATTTGACATTTAGACACTTCTTTTATCGTAGCTGAACTGGCTGAAAACTAGCAGGGACAAACCTTAGTTAAACAAAGTTGTGTGTATTTCAGTGAGAGAAATAACAGTGGAGGAATTGGGACTGTCTCAACAACAGAGGAAGAGACAGATCTTTCAGAGCATCTTGGAGGATGGTGGAATTTTGGAAGCTTAGTGAAGCAACATTATGATTGACTCAGAGCAGGGCTGGCTGTGAAGCTCTGGACCATGAAGTAGCCCCATGACCTTGTTCTGTGGAAATGGCAAGGTTAAGAAAGATGTGGAATATTGTTTCCAGAAACTCCTTAATCTGAAACTCTCCTCCTGGGCTGGAAATCCAGGCTTCTTTTCTGTGTCAAAAGTGGGATATTTCATTCTTCCAAGTTCTATTTCAAACAACAAAGTTTCTGACAGTCTGTGATTATGGAGAACAAGGTTTCTTATCCACAAATGAGATAAGAAAGCGGGGTCACCCAAAAAATGGAGTCATTTTGACACCTTTTAGCTGCATTATGAGTTTCAGAGAAATATAAAAGGAAGTGTTCGTTGCTCAGTCATGTCTGACTCTTTGTGACCCCACGGACTGTATGTAGCCTACCAGGCTCCTCTGTTCATGAGATTCCAGGATGGAATTGCCATTCCCTTCTCCAGGGGACCTTCCCAGCCCAGGGATCGAGCCTGGGTCTCCCACATTGCAGGCAGATTCTTTACTGTCTGAGCCACCGGGGGAGCCCCTGGGAGAAATACGGTTTCCCGTTAACTTCACCGCTGACTTTATCTGTTTGTCATCTCAGCCTGTTTTATGAATGATAGGGCTAATTTTTTACTTTCTCACTCTCACTGACCCACTCTTTCACATACACTAAATTCCTCACATCTGTGGGCCTGACATGCTTGATTTTGATCCAGTGGGCCATGATACATGTTAATTTGAGATTCTGATAAAGTTTGAGTGACAGGCACTGACATCTTAAAACACCTACGATCTAGTGAAGCACTGAAAAATAACTTAATGAAGAATGACCTGGAAAAGAAAGCTACTAGAAGAACCAATATTAGAAATGTAAGAAGAGACCAGTGTGAGAAAGCAGTGGTTCGAAACCATAATAGTGACCAAATCCTTCGACCTTCTAAGATCGTATAGAGAGATATAGTTTAAGGAAGTCACTAACTATGAGGGAAAAAATTAGTAGACAATGATACAGCGTTACTTCTCATAGTGAAAAACTGAAAATAACATTAACTTTGAAGGTGTTGCTAAATACCCCAAATGAACCTTTAGTGCCATAGGGAGTGCTTATGAAATGTGCAAGAAACAGGATATTAAAATACCAGGTATGAGATCAACTTTGTTATTTGGTTTAATTAGATGATAATATGTATAGAAAATATCTGCAAGGAAATATACAAAGAGAGCAACAACAGTTATTTCAGAATGGCTAAATTATAGTAGATTTTGTTTCTCTATTTTTTCTCTATTTTTTATTTTTTATTTTCTACCATAAGCTTATATTATTCAAAATAAGCATGTATTATAACAATACAGAGCAGTTCTAACAATAAACATATATTACTCAGAGAAAGAAATTAGTTACTTTAGAAAAAAGTAAGGGTCCTTAGCCAGAAAATAAGTATTTTATAAGGAAAATTATATGCTCCTAAGTTATTACTATTCATGGGGTTGTCAAAATGTGTTTTTCCCATTATGACCCTGTTAGATTGAAGAACATGATTTTTCATTTTTGGTTGGTGGTTTTTACACTGAATAAGGCTGAATGAATCTGAATCTTTTTTTAATTGCAGAATTTTTAGCATGTAACCCTTTTTTGCATAATTAGTCACTTCTACTTGTAGGAATAACAGTTTTAGTAAACCATAATGCAGCAGTAGTTTGACGTTGGTTCTTTCACCCAGAAAAAGGATTTCAAACTTCAGTGCCTATTATTCTTGATGTTATTTCTAACTTTTCATATTTTAATTTTTTTCTAAAGGATAGGTTTTGAAAAGTAAGGGATGATGAAATAACTATGTCCTTTTAAAAAGAACTGTGTGGGAAATTATTGAAATTTGGTTAGGATCAACTGATATTTGCAAACAAATTTAGCTTTGGACTTAAATTGTCTCTCTGCCATTTATTACAAAGTTATTTTCATAAACTGAAGTGTCCGTAACTCTTTAGTGTGATTACAAAGTTTCCAAATGTATGGTAACATTGTAAATCTTAAATCAGCTTCTTTCTGATCCTCTCCAGTCCAGGAAGATGTCTGGAGAACTTCCACCAAACATTAACATCAAGGAACCTCGATGGGATCAAAGCACTTTCATTGGACGAGCCAAGCATTTCTTCACTGTAACTGATCCCAGGAACATTCTGTTAACCAACGAACAACTGGAGGCGGCGAGGAAAGTGGTCCATGATTACAGGTAACATTAGTGGTATGCTTTTTGACTTAATGTGTTAACAGATCATGCTGGTGGCCTCTTGTCTTAAACCCTCCCTTAGTGAGTTTTCAACATGTTTTTGCAATTGAATCCTTTTTATCAAAGGAAAAACAGAAGTGAGAAATAAGAAGACAGGTTTTGTACCCCATTGCTGACCCTTAACAGAAATATCCAAGGTTCATAATAACCTGAATATAAGACAACCATCTTCCAACTCATAAGTGCCAATCTGTGAGGCGCCCTGCCTCCCACCCTCTAATACAGCTGCCCCTGCATCCACATCCTTCTGTTTCCAGGTGGAGACCCCCTCTTACAAAACCAAGTTGTCAAGAATTAGGGTAGGTTGGTCCCTTCTTAGATAAAGCCTCAGTGAGTAAACCCCACGTATAGTAGCTTAGATGGGAAGGATGCTTTTGGCATGGTGTGTAGGTTTGGGATGGATTTTGTCAGTTCAAAGAGCCAGGCATGAGGTAGAGAAGAGGCATGGGCTCTGGGCAATAGTCACAACTTTTGTTTATTTTTAACATTTTAATACAATTTTAAAAGGCTATACTCAATTTACAATTATTAACAAAATATTGCTACGTTTTGAATATTGCTATGTTTTGAGCCTGTCTTACACCCAGTGGTTTATACCTCCCAGTCTTCCACCTGTATATTGCCCCCCCACAACTTATAACCTCTAGTTTGTTCTCTGCATCCATGTGCCTGATTCTTTTTTGTTATATTCACTAGTCTGTTGTATTTTTTAGATTCCACATATAAGCAATAACATACAGTGTTTGTCTTTCTCGGTCTGCCATATTTCACTTAGTTAGCATAATGCCCTTGAATTCTATCCATGTTGCTGCAAATGGCAAAATTTCATTCTTTTTTATGGTGAGTAGCATGTATATATACACACACACACACACACACACACACACACACACACACACACACACACACACACACACACACACACACACACATATATACACACACCACATCTTCTTTATCCACTCATCTGCTGATGGACATGAAGCTTTCTTGATAAATGACCATATAAGAAATACTAACATTTGAAGCTTCGTGGACCACAAAGGGTTTCCATCTTACTCTGCATGTTCTGTCTATTTTTGCTAATTTCTTGGCTGTTTGCTTCTTGCTTGGTTGGTTGTTTCACGATCCTGTAAAGAGCAAGAGAAAAACCACTGTTAGCTAGCTAGCCATATAGGCCACAGACAGTAATGCTGACTCCTGCTCTCAGGGAAAGTTAGAAGCTGAGAATTGGATTAGTGGGAGCTAGGAGCCTAAACATGCCAGAAATAATGCATGCAGTGTACATACTTGGCTGTCATGTGGGTAGTCGGGGAAGCCAAGGGCAGTCTACAAACTGTCACCGAGCACTGAGTCTGGCCGGGTCCTCGCATGTGCAGCCAGGCAGAAGGAGGGCTCCCGGGGCAGAGAATGTCTTGGAGCCCTGTGAGCAAGTCCTGAGAGAAGAGGCAGTGAAAGAAAGCAGGAATGTTACCTTGGGAATTCTGCCAAGTAAAATGTTCCATGATTCTGGAACAAAAGCCAAGAAAAGAGAGGAAGAGAGGTAAAGACAACTAGAGGAGTGAAATGAAGCCATAAAGGAGATTGCAAAGCCCCTAAAAACAGAGCAAAATTAAAATCTTCACTGGAGCCAGTGGTGGAGAAGTCAGGATGGCAGTGGTGCCGAGAAAAAGTGGACACAGAGATGCTGGGGATAAACCTGAGGCGTTCTCCAAGGGTGAGCATCCAAGGTCAGTATCCTTTCTATGCGAAGGGCCAGATGGTAAACATTTCCACTTTTCGAGCTTTACGGTCTTATTCTTCTGTGTTGTTTTGCATGGTCACCACCCTCTAAAAATGGAAAAACCATTGTTAGCTTATCAGCCATTTAAAAACAGAACATGACTTGTCAACTTCTGACCCAGGTGAATAAGTGAGTGTGAAAAGGATTATATTTCAGGGGAATAGAGGATGGTGCGTGAAGACATAATTCATTGATGCTTCTCAAGGAGAAATTAGAAAAATGTGAACAAAGTAATACTAAGTAAATAAGGAGTTTTCCTCTAGTGAGGAAAAATATCTAGAAATTAAACTCACCTAATTGCAGGCAGAGACCTCCACAAAATGGATATTTTTTTCCTTTTCTTTTTCTACAAAGAAACTTTTAAAAATTTTATAAGCAGCCAGAACAGGAAAAAAAAGTTATTTAAAAAAAGAACAAATGACAGAGGAATCAACCTTTTCATCTATGCATTGAGCTCGTGAGGACAGCAAAAAATGTGTGCTGAGTTTCCTGGAGAAAGCATGTAACCAAGGAATTCTATACCAGAGAGTCTGTTTAGAGAGGCAACAGAAAAATATACAACATCAAAAATAAACTCCTAGGGACTTCCCAGGCTGTTCAGTGATTAAGATTTCATCTTCCAATTCAAGAGGTGCCTATTCGATCCCTCGTCTGGGAACTAAGATCATGCCTCACAGTCAAAAAGTCAGAAGATGAAACCGAATCAATATTGTAACAAATTTGATAAAGACTTTAAAAAATGGTCCACATCAAAAAAAAAAAAGCCTTAAAAAAATTTAAAAAATAGACTCTTCCTCAATCTTTCTTGTGAGGTCAGGAAATAAAGCAAAATTGAGTTCAAGAATAAGAAATCTATGGTATGCCGTGTTTCTGCAAACAATTCAAAATGGAATTACCATATATCCAGCTATAGTGCTTCTGGGCACATACCCAAAAGAATAGGCAGCAGGGTCTTAAACAGATATTTGCATACTGGTGTTTATAGGAGCATTACCACAGCAGCCAAAGGTAGAAGCAATACAAGTGTCCACGGAAGGATGAATGAAAAAATAAAACAGTATATTCACACAATAGAATACGATTAGGCCTTGAAAACAAAGGGAATCCTAATACATGCTCAGTTCAGTTCAGTTCAGTTCAGTTCAGTAGCTCTTTGCAACCCCATGGACTGCAGCACACCAGGCCTCCCTGTCCATCACCAACTCCCAGAGTTTGCTCAAACTCATGTCCATTGAGTCGGTGATGCCATCCAACCATCTCATCCTCTGTCGTCTCCTTCTCCTCCCACCTTCAATCTTTCCCAGCATCAGGGTCTTTTCCAGTGAGTCAGTTCTTCGCATCAGGTGACCAAAGTATTGGGGTTTCATCTTCAGCATCAGTCCTTCCAGTGAATATTCAGGACTAATTTCCTTTAGGATGGACTGGCTGGATCTCCTTGCAGTCCAAGGGACTCTCAAGAGTCTTCTCCAACACCACAGTTCAAAAGCATAAATTTTTTGGCGCTCAGCTTTCCTTATAGTCCAACTCTCACATGCATACATGACTACTGGAAAAAATAGAGCTTTGACTAGATGGACCTTTGTTGGCAACATAATGTCTCTGCTTTTTAATATGCTGTCTTGGTTGGTCATAACTTTTCTTCCAAGGAGAAAGCATCTTTTAATTTCATGACTGCAGTCACCATCTGCAGTGATTTTGGAGCCCCAAAAAATAAAGTCTGTCACCTTTTCCACTGTTTCTCCATCTGTTTGGCATGATGTGATGGGACCAGATGCCATGATCTTAGTTTTCTGAATGTTGAGTTTTAAGCCAACTTTTTCACTCTTCTCTTTCACTTTCATCAGGAGTCTTTTTAGTTCTTCTTCACTTTCTGCCATAAGGGTGGTATCATCTGCATATCTGAGGTTATTGATATTTCTCCCAGCAATCTTGATTCCAGTTTGTGCTTCATCCAGCCTGGTGTTTCTCATGATGTACTCTGCATATAATTTAAATAAGCAGGGTGACAATATAGAGCCTTGACGTACTCCTTTTCCTATTTGGAACCAGTCTGCTGTTCCATGTCCAGATCTAACTGTTGCTTCCTGACCTGCATACAGGTTTTTCAATAGGCAGGTCAGGTGGTCTGGTATTCCTATCTCTTGAAGAATTTCCCACAATTTTTTTGTGGTCCACACAATCAACGGCTTTGGTGTAGTCCATAAAGCAGAAATAGATGCTTTTCAGGAACTCTCTTGCTTTTTTGATGATCTAACAGCTGTTGGCAGTTTGATCTCTGGTTCCTCTGCCTTTTCTAAATCCAGCTTGAATATCTGGAAGTTCATGGTTCATGTACTGTTGAAGCCTGGCTTGGAGAAGTTTGAGCATTACTTTGCTAGCATGTGAGATGAGTGCAACTGTGCGGTAGTTTGAGCATTCTTTGGCATTGCCTTTCTTTGGGATTGGAATGAAAACTGACCTTTTCCAATTCCATGGCCACTGCTGAGTTTTCCAAATGTAACACAGGCTACAACATAGATAAACCTTGAAGGCACTGCTCAATGAGATAAAGGGATAAATTGTTGCATAGTTCCACTTACACAAGGTCCCTAAAGTAGCAAATACATAGAAATAGAAAGTAGGATGGTGATGGTCAGGGTCTGGGAAGGGGAGAATCTGGAGTTATTTAATGAATACAGTCTCAGTTGGGGACAACGAAAAAACTCTGACGGTTGATGGTGGCGAGAGTTGGACGATAACATGAATATGCTTAGTGCGCTAAAACTATACTCTTAAATATGGATAAGATGGTAAATTTTATGTTATGTATGTTTTATTACAGTACAAAAAAAGTAAGGAAGCTATAATATAGACTAATGATGGATGCTGAAATAGTTAAAATAGAAATGGTTGTTGCATTTCTAGTTATAAGGGCTTCCCTTGTGGCTCAGCTGGTAAAGAATCCACCTGCAATGTGGGAGACCTGGGTTTGATCCCTGGGTTGGGAAGATCCCCTGGAGAAAGGAAAGGCTACCCACTCCAGTATTCTGGCCTGGAGAATTCCATGGACTGTATAGTCCATTGGATCGCAAAGAGTCGGACACAACTGAGTGACTTTCACTTTCACTTTCTAATTATAAAGCATTGTAAAGGCAAAGAGAAATTTTAAATGTTTTGTAAA